GTTACATTCTCTTAATGAATAGAGGGATTTGTTCTAATGGTGTTTGTAAATAGGATATCATGTCCGCATCTTGTACAGCAATTAACCACTAGGAAGAACGTATGCAATGTGTTAATTATGGAAACTGTCCTACCAATTTGGTTTGAAACTATCTCATTGCTATTTGTTTCTCAATAAAATTATGAAAAAAAAGAAAATTGAAAGTAACAAAAAGAAATAATAACAATAATACTTTGTTAATATGGCTTTACTTTTTATACCTCGTGGTTACACTTTTCTGCTGGATGCTGAGCTGTAAAAGGCTCAAATCAACAACTTCAGACAATTGCCAGTTGTGCTGCTAACTCATTACTATTATGGACTACTGGACTACATTGGGTTGTTTTGCTGAATTCAAGTACCTACAGTATTTGGGCTGGTATCAAGTATGAAAAGATCCTTTAAAGACTTCTCTAAATACAGCTTCTCTAACAGCAATGGAGCCCCCATCTCTGACAGAACAAAACAAAAAAGGGGCTATAAATAAAGGACTGTTGTAGTGAAAAAGAAAATATACATGTGTATATATAAGATAGTTAGGATAGATATATAGCTACTTTCTCTTAGTTCAATGAGAAAAAAGATTTGTACTAATAGTGTTTAGACAAGATATCATGTCTCCATCTTGTCCTCTGAATAACTACTACAAAGACAACAATATGCAATGTTTTAATTATTGTAACTCTCCTACTAACCTGTTTTGAAATGGTTTCATTGCTATTTTATTTTCTCATTAAAATGAATAAAAATAAAAGATACTGAAAAAAAAAAAAAAAAGCTTCCTGTGTCAGTGCTTCAAAGAAATGACTAATGTGGGCTGGCCAGGTAGCTCAGTGGATTAAAGCACCTGCTTAGGCAGATGCAGGGACCACGGCTCAATCCCTGGTGTGACGACGTGCTGGCTCTGCCCCCAGGGCGCGCTGACACACACTGTGACTGAAACTGTGTGGTGGCACACACCTGTGATCCCAGCACTTGGGAGGCTGAAAGCAGGAGGATCACCGCAAGTCCAATCGATCTGTGTGGTAAGACCCTGCAGATCCCGTACTAAATACATTAAAAAATAAATAAAAGAAAGTGCCTTCATTCTATTCTTTAAAAAGAAAGAAAGAAAGAAAGAAAGAAAGAAAGAAAGAAAGAAAGAAAGAAAGAAAGAAAGAGAGAGAGAGAAAGAAATGACTAATGCTAGCCAACATTTTTGGTGCACACCTGACCATAAATACTGGGTGGTGCACAGCTGGGGAGGATGGCACACTACCTCAGGGTGAGGTGTGCCCACAGCGGCCTGGCACACCGCTGAGCCACACTGGTGAAGCCTCAGCCGGGCAATCACTAGGCCCCAGGGCCATGAGGCTACGAAGAGAACTCTCACGAGAGCCGTGAAAGCTCTGTGTTCCGAATTACGAAATCAAAGCCGGTCTCTGCAGCACTCACAACGAGGAAGTGATGAGAACTTACCTCAACCACAGGCGTGTTTTCCTGGAGTTCGCTCGAGTGGGAGGCCAGCAGTCCGATCACCCGCGCCACCTTGGCTCGGCTGTAGGGAGAGGACACAGGCTGAGGCGGGGCGCATGCACGGCACACACACGCACACGGGAGATGTACCTGCGAAGCGCAGGCCAGCCGAGTGCACAGCCAGGGCCACGACGGGCTCCCACTCATGGGGAAGCACCGACAGGGTGGCGGTGAGTGCGTGGCGCTGACACAGCAGCAGCTGCTGTTCAACAGCAACATGGAAAACAGAACTGCGACAAGGCCTCACGCAGGGAGCAGAGCAGTGGTAATGAACCCGTCCTTCCCTGCGGACAGAGGCGTGAGCCTGAAGGGCTCCGCGGTATCTGCTTCCGTGAGCACAGTGGGTACCTAACACCGGAGCAGCAATACCAGGGAACGTCTCACTGCAGAACGGAATGGCTTCAATAACACACCTCACAAACGCTGCTTTTTAAATAAACACTAGTTTATAACATGTTCCCTTTGGTATCCTGCAGAAAAGTTGATAAATTAAGCAACTCTTCAGTGTGATTTGAGTGAGTATTTAATGTGGAAAATTAATTCCAATGAGATTTTTAATGAAGAAGTGATGAGCTGGTGTGAACCACAGCACTGCTCAGAGGGCTGCGTGTCCCTGGCCCAGTCCATGCGTGCTGTTTTTCAGCTTCTTAAACTGAGCCCCTGAGGACGCGTGGAAGGACACAAGCCCACCTCCCAGCCAGCTCGGGAAAAGCGAGGTCCGCCTTCTGCAGTGTGCAGAAGGTCTTCTGAGCCTCCCGCTCGGCTCTCCGACACGCAGATCCCGCAAGTCCTAGCTGCTTTGGGGCGAGGCCCCACTTCTCAGTGAATGCCATACAACGCGTTCTCACCAGTGTGGACCTCAGGTACCTGCGTGACTTTCCTATGAGCTGGCGCAGAAACAGCGCATTGGACGTGCATGCAATAGGCACCGGCGGTTTGAGCCACCCGGCAAGGAGACAGGCGAATGACAGCCCCATCGCGAATGTGTTAAAAGTGATTATTTTGGGAAGATACTGGACTAAGAACACTTTAAAAGCTAGTCACCTCTTGGATCTGCCTGGCTTGGACCCTTGATGTTCCCAAGACGTGTGTATATTAACGGAAGGCTTGGCTAGGCACAGCGCTCCCAGGAGAGGGTGGGGACGAGCAGCTTCCTGGCTACACTCCTGCCATGATGTTGGCAGAAGCAGTGGGGTCACAGGGGGTGCCCTGAAGGGCATGGGGGGGACCCAGACCCTTCCCTCTCCGTAGGGTGACCTGGCCCACTCCATGGACGCCTGCCAGAGCCACAGCAACAGGCCTGGGTCTACAGGACACTAGGATTGCAGCTCTTCATGTCTCAATCTGAGACAGCTCTCACAGGGATGCAGAGCTGAGCACATGGCAACTGCCCAGCCTGGGAGCCACGGCCAGGTCACACATGCCTCCGTCTCCACGCGTGCCAGGCAGGGTGCTGGCTGCTCCAGGTCTCCTCAGGGACACTGTGACCTGGACTCGCTGGACAAGTGAAGACATAAACATGGAGCGTTTCCCTTTGCACACTGAAGCTCACAACACCTGGGGGACACTGGACCCTTCCTCAATCCATAAAATGAAATAACTGCCTACCAGGTGTATTCAACCACTATAGGGTGGTGGAAACAAATCACCTAAACACTGCTGCAAGCACGCCCAAAATAACTTCTGTTAGAACACGAGCAAGAGTACTTTAAAAACCTTATGCTTTTAAGTTATAAACTGTGTAAAGAACAACAACAGTCCTCTGCTTATAACAGAAACCCCCCTCCTGCTGTACCTCCCACGTGACAGCCTCACCAAACTGGCTCCTCCTCAGAGCAGAGTCCCTCAAGACCCAGCCAACTGCATCTCAGAATCATCCCCATCCCAGGGCGACAGCACCCAAATTGCACTAAAGGGCCAAACTCCACAGGTAAGTGAAGCGCTCCCTAAAGTCACTGCCTGGTACAGCACCCATCAGAAACACTATAGGGCATAAAACAGGACTGGGGCGAGTCAGGAACTAAGCATTTCATTTCATTTCATTTAAATAAGCACTGTAGCCAGCTGCAGTCAGCAGCCACCCTATGGGAGCACAGGGGAGTGGATGTTAACACAATGTTTCAAAGAACATTTTAGCACTCCACCAGAAATCCCAAAGTATTTACTGCTGCTGTAACTTGGCTCTCTTAAATGTCCCCAGAGGCCCATTGTTAAAAGGCTTTCCTGCTGGCCCTGGGAGCTTGGCAGAAGCACTAAGCAGTGGGACCCAGAGTGAGGTCCTGCCTGACAAGCGCGAGGTCCTGAGTTTGATTCCCAATACCAAGGCAAAAATAATCACTATCACACTACACCACACCTCACGAGATCTCCTCACCACCACTTCACATACTTCCAATAATCACATACAATAAATACCAAGGCTACAGCCCGATATATGTATTAACATGCAGCACCTACAAACCAGACTCTGTATAGAGCATGTCATGTATCCATCTCGCTCACAGTTAAAATTACCAAAATCTACTTAGCACTTACCCTACATCGCATTTCACAGCTGAGACACCGGAGGCTCAGAAGCACAAGCAAAGGGCAGGTCTGCCTCAAACCTAAGCCCACACCATCTCCTTGTCCCACACAGACGTCCCGGGAAGCACAGGCCCAGAGGAAGGTTTGAGCATTAGGCCCTGTCTCTCTAGCAGCCAGAGCCCAGCGCCTTGCAATGCCTCATCTCATGACGCACTCTCCCCAGGGCTGCCGCCTCCAAGAAAGCTAGCACCCTTCCTCCACCAGAGTCTACAGATTAGGACCCCACGAGATCATAGACCACGCTAGGGAAGCCACAGGCCAGGGCACCCAGGCACCACCAGGATAGTGGATAGGTGCATAAACGGAGCACAGCGACTAGTGCAGAGTAAACCCTCGGCAGGGAGGCAAGGCAGCACCGAGGAGCAGCTTGACAACCCCAGAATCAAGTTTATAGTAGGATAATGGCTATTTTTCAATCTTCCTTTTAAATGCACAATCAGGGAGCCTCCAGAAACTGCCTATGAAGCACTCATCTTTACTTCAGAAGGGCTTGTAATAACCAGTTAGGATTCTGTGTGTGGATGAGTGTGTCAGTTGTGGCAGCTTCACAAAATCATCAAGAATATTTTTGAGGGGTCAGGGCGATAGCTCAAGTGAATAAATGCTTGCTGGCAAGCGCAGGGTCCTGAGTTCAACTCCCAGTACCACAAAAAAAAAAAAAAAAAGAAAGAAAGAAAGAAAAAAAAAGAATACTTTTGAACATAAATGTTACTTACATATCCCAGTTTGGAGCTATTCGCAAATGCTGGATTAGCAAGTGGAACTAGAATAAAAAGTAGAAGTGTACATTTAACTCATTAAATGGCACAGAAAGCGATTCCAGGACAACAAATCAGATCTTTATGCAACAAAAATGTGAACTGTGCACAAGGAAATAACTTATAAAGGTGCAAGCAGCTCTGGGCAGATGAAGATGACATCAAAAGTATTTAGTCACTCTGCCACTTTCCAGTCCCCACACGTCCACCACATCCAACAGACACCAGCTACCACGGAAGTGGCCTTCACGCCGTCGGCAGCAGGATGAGCTGGGGCTTCTGCGCCAGGCCCCAGCCGAACACCCTCACGGGAGACACTGCGATTCTCCGCTGAAGTGACTTCCAAAGCCCTGCCAAACCCAAGGGCTTGCCAGTGAACGAAGACAACCCAACGACGTTCCGGGGGGACAGCACACAGGAGTCTGGAAGACGGGACATCTGCCGTCAGCGTCACCCCAGGAACCTTGGAGTCACCTGCCAGGTGGGCCAGGTCCAGGATCCCCTACTCTGCATGGGCAGCTCACTAGAGTATGCAGAGGTCGAAATTTCAGACTGAAAACTATGCTACACTAATTAATAAACTAACATAAGATGAAGTATTACCAAAGAAAAACTTGGAATCTCCATTCTACCCAACTGCTCTTAGACCGATGCATTAAATCAAGGACAATATAAACCTATGGCTGAGAAATCATTTTGCACTGTTGTTACGGTTTGTGTCTAGCTGTCCCCTGAAAGCCTCGTGCAGTCATCGGGTTGCTTCTAGAGTGGTGACTAATTCACAATCCTATACTGGGATTATGGATTACGGTGTGAGTGCTATACCCACCCTGGGACAGACAGCCTGAGTGCAGCGTGAGGAAGGGAGAAAGGCTCCCTAGCTGCCGAAAGCCGCTGCTCCGCCCTTCGCTGTTTTCTGACACTGTGAACTGCAGCCCTCTGCCACATGCGCACTGCCTCGGAGTCGGCTGATTACGGACTGAAACCTCCACAAACTGTGAGCTCCATAAACCTTTCATTTCTTAATTCCGAGTGTCAGGTATGTTGTCCCACAACAAGAGAGAAGTAACCGCGACAACTGTCATTAAATCTAATAACTTATTCCTCATTTTAACCTCCAGAAACCAGAAAGGAAAGCACAGGAGGACTTGGGAGCAGCCTCGCCTACCAGGGGAGAATGCAGGAGCCTGCTGGCGACCTCCCGGTGAGTGGCCACCACACACAAATAGCAGAGGAGGTTCAGCTTGGCTCGGGCGGCCGCTGCGCCCCTCTCAGTGGAGTCGAGCTGCGAGCACGCCTGCTGTAGAAACTCACTCCAGTCGTGGTCCTTCAGGTGCAATAATTTATCGGCTGCAGAGAGAGGAAAGGAGTGAAAGCGTGTTTGTCGTGCAGAAGACCACTGAAGTGTCATGGGAGAGGTCGAACGCACACTACTCAGCAGTCAAGAGAGGACAAAGAAAACACACTGTCAAAATCACAGCCCGGAGTGGCAGTGCACCCGGTAATCCTAGGGTTCTTGGAGGCTGAGGCAGGAGGACTGCAACTGCGAGCCATCCTGGGCAGTTCAGACACCTAGTGAGACCCAAGCTTAAGTAAAAAACCTTTAGCTGAGTGTGGTGGTGCACAGCTGTAATCCCAGCACTCAGGAGGCTGAGGCCGGGAGATCACTGCAAATCTGAGGCCAGCCTGGCTACTAAGTGAGTTCCAAGCCAGCCTGAAGCACATAGCCAAACCCTGTCTCAAGAAAGACAAAATAAAAAAAAATTAGAAGGCCTGGGACGTAGTTGAGTGCAAAGGTCCTGGGTTCAATTCTAAGCACCAGTGGATCATTCTAAACAAAGACAGTGATGGGGATGGGGATTTGGCTCAGCGGTAGAATGCTTGCGAGCAAGCTGGAAGCCTGGGTCCAGTCCTCGGCACCAAAAACAAAAAATAAACCTCCCCTAAAAGACAGTAACATTTAGCTGTTCTTCTGGGTTCCTCATCTCTAGGTACCTGGTGTACTCAACTAATTCAACGGGAAACTGCACAAAACAAAAGCGCACAGCTAAAGGAGAATTGTCCGACAACCCATACCACACCTAAATGCAAAGCAAAACACAACTGTGTAAAAATAACTCCCTAAACAACTCAAAAGGAAAAAATGGGCCAGAGATATAGCTCAGCAGCACAGTGCCTGCCCAGCACGTGCAAGGCCCTGAGTTCAATTCCCAGAACCAAAGAACAAAACAAACTTTTAAAAGTGACAAAAGAGAAAAAAAGAAAGACTACAAATTTTTTTTTTTTTTTTTAATGTATTTGGTACAGGGTCTACAGGGTCTCACTTCGTAGAACAGACTCACAGTGACCCTCCTGTTTTCAGCCAGCCAAGCACCGGGATTACAGGCATGCGCCACCACACCCAGTCTCAACTGCCATTTCAGCACGCCCCGGGGGCAGGGCTGGCCCAGCACACTGGGGATTGAACCGCAGCTGCTGCACTCTGCCTAAGCAAGCGCTTCAGTCCGCTGAGCTACCTGGCCGGCCCAAGACTATAATTTCTTGATACCAAGCCTCTAGGTTTCCATAAACAACACTCCTTGACAGTGAGTATACTATTAATATTCTGCCTCATTCTGGTCTAAGTATTTTTATCAGCAATTATGTTGACTTACCTAATCCATTAGTTGATTCACTTAAATTTGAATAGGCCTTATTATGAATTTACATTAAATCAAAGATTCTACTCTAACCACAATGCAGCATTTTCCCCAAATCTACCTTAACAACTTAAAATACAACTTGTCCAGCTAAATAAATCAACACAAGATGTGCAAAAGGTTCTGATGCTCACCCCGAAAGACTTCCCATGGCTGCAGTGACTCACAATCACCCTTTAAACATTCTCTCCAGACGCGTGGGGCGCATGGGGTGCTCTGGCTGCAGACAACTCTGCTCGAATGCCACGCCCACAAGCACACTGCCCAGCCTGGCGGCACTCAGCCGCCACGTACTACAGGCCTGCCCCAGGCACCACACCCCATCCCTGGCAGACCCAGCTGGCTGCACCGAGGAGGACAGGAGAAGACCCCTGCCCACTCACTGGGGACTCCTGCCCAGCCCCCGGAACCTCCTCACCCACGGGACACAGGGCCTGGGGTCTTGTGATTTACACACCACTGCCCCAAGGACACCACCAAGGGCGAGAGACAGGAGCTCCGAGATCGCACACAAACCTTCCATCTGCAAATAAACTGTGCATTCGTATCTGCACAAGGAGGCACGCGCAGAACAAGCCCTTCACAGGCCTACCTGAATGTGCTGGGAGATGCAGTATTTTGGGATCAAACTTAATGGGTGGTTGCTTCATTATCTGTTGTTCAAAAGAAAAATAAACTTGTAAGTGACCTTTCAAGATGGACATTTGTTCCCAAAAACGTGCAGAGTCACATTGCAAAAAAGAGCATTATTATTACAGTTTGTGTCCGGATGTAACCCCAGGGCCCCACGCAGTCATGGGCGGCTTCTAGAGGTTAGGCGGGTAGTGCTCTATGCTGGCCGAGGGGCGCGAGTGCCGCCCGCCCCGGGCGGGGAGCCTGCGCACCATGCGGCGAGGGACAGAGCCTTGCTCTCTGCGCCTGCTCCCCCGCTTCCGCTCGTGCTGCTTTTACTGCCTTCCACTGCCCCGAGCTGCTGCCCTCTGCCACGTGCCGCTCTGCCTTGAGCCCGCTGAGTATGGACTGAAACCTTTACGAACTGTGAGCTAAATAAAACTTGCTTCCTTAATTCTGGGTGTCAGATATCTCGTCTCAGCAGCGAGAGAAAAGTAGCCAATACACTGTCATCAAAAAAGAATTCAACAGTGCTACTTTAGATCACAACACTCAAATATGAGACAGTGTAGTATTTTTTAAATAATTTCCATTGCGCCCTCAGCGCATCTAGGTAGCAGTCCTCTATCTAAACTTCTTGGCGATTCAGAGTCGTCGTCCCACTCAGCTGACCGCTTCCTTTGCTGTACAAGTTTGTTATGTTTGCAGCAGCACGATTCCCGACAGCTGAGCTCTGTGAACAGCTGCGATGCCATCAACAGGTGAGCTGGAGAGGGGTGGGTACACACACCAAGGGCCCAGCGGCTGCACAGGAGGCGAAACGCCTCACGATCGTGGTCTCCAGACTCGTGCACTCGGGTGGGCTCTGGGAGCCAAGTGACTTAGAGGGCGCCGTGGCTAAGTGTGTGGCAGGAGGCGGGGGCTGGCCGGGAGAGGTGGCAGTGGGCTGCAGGGCAGCTCCTTCTCAGCGCCTCCTTCCCCTCCCTGAGTCCTGGCTGCCAGCACCTAGCCACCTTTCCCTCCACTGTGCCCTTCTGATGCTGCCTCTTCTTTGAAGCCAGCCAATCATGGGCTGAGATGTGAGAAAAAAAAAAAACAAAAAAACCCGGTCTTCCTTTCAATTGTGGGCGTTGGGTATGGCTGACAACACAGTGACTAAGAGGTTCCAGCACCAAGGAGTGATGCCACTGCTGCGACGCCACCTGAATACGCGGCTCAGACGCCTGCGGAACTCCTGTTTGGAAAAGTCTGAAGCTGCTGGGCTAGAAAGCCCTAGAACACTGTACGCTGAACTGGATGGGAGACTCTGATCAAAGTTCAGAAGGCCAGAGTGGCAACAGAGATGCAGGTGGTAAGGGCCAGGTGCATGAGAGCTCAGGTGGGAACAAGGGCTCTGCTGGCACTGGACGCCAGGACCTATCAGTTATACACTCACAGAAAATTTGTTTACACTTAGCTCATGTCCTGAGATCTTGCAGGGACTGCGATTAAGTGCTGTGGACCAACTGGTCTACCAGGGAAAATTTCAAGGCAGCCCAGTGTTCAGGCTGTGGCATAGGTACTGCTCACTGCTCTCAGGCAGATTTATGCTGAGAAATGGGAAAAAATAAACCACTTATATAGTTTTCAATTTTATTAGAAAGAAACAGACTATAAAAGTGGAGCATCAGAGAGCCTCTTGCTTAAAAGATTAGCGTTAAAAAGAAGCCAAGTAGCAGGGTGTGGTGACACATTCCTGGACTTGGGAGGCTGAGGCAAAAAAAATCCCCAGGTCAGCCTGGGCTACAAAGTAAGAACCTGGCTCAAAAAATTAAAACAAAAGGAAGAAAAAAGAGGCCAAGTATTTCGGATCAGAACAATAGAAAAAGACGCCTTGAGGGCAGGTAAAGAATCAGCAAGACCCCACCCTTCACACCTTTCACACCTTTCAGCACCTTTTGGTGCTAAGAGGCACCAAAGTAAAAGATTCTGCTTTGAGAAGACAGCCACAGCACACCTGAGCTCGAGAAACTAGGAACCACCACCTAGGAAATGTTTCCCAGGGTTCCGTTCACAACGCTCAGCCATCCAGGAACTCAAGAGGCCGCTGCAGCCACGATTCGAGACAAGCTGCGTGAGGAACGCGAGAGTTGTGGGGTCAGAGAGGCCTCCAGCAGCCAGATTTCAGAAGGCTTAGGGGCCAGGTGGCGTGGCAAGCTGCGGGAGCAAAGCAAAAGTGCGACAGACCCAAGAAGCTGGAGAAGGCAGGAACATGGAGCACCAGCTGACAGAAACAGCAGGCAGTGAGCAAACCAGCCCGAGAGAAACCACGGCAGCTGCCCAGGCCGTCCGGAGTTCACATTGCACACCCTGTCTGTGCTGAACACAGAATCACAGAATTTAACGTTTTCCCTGCTGGGTTTCAGTCTTGCTTTGGTGCAATCTTTCCACACCCATATTTCTCCCTTTGAGAATGGAAATGTTCGTCCTGTGCCATTATACGTAGCGGGCATTTAACTTTCCTTGATTTTATAGGCACTCACAGCCAAGAGTTTGCCTTGAGTCTCAGAAGAGACTTCGACGGATCTTTCAGCAATGCTGGAACTGCTAGGATTTTGGCAACTCTCAGAGAGGGCCAAATGCACTTTGCATACGGTAAGCACAGGAGCCCTCTGAGAGGCAAGGAGAACGTTAAGGTTAGTATCCAGATGACCCCAAGAGCCTCAGGACGTCACAGCAGGGCTTCTGAAAGCTGACTGAATCACAGGGCGCTGCAGCTGAATGGGCCTGAGGAGGCGGGGCGGTCCCTGCCTGTGAGCTGGGCAGGTGTTTCTCCCCTCACGCTGTGCTTCCTGGTGCCGTGACGTGAGCAGCTGTCCCCCTCCAAGATGACCTACGACACTGCTTCTTCAGAGCCAGCCATCACAGACCAGAACACGAGCTGATGGAGACCTTTCCTCCTTCAAGGGTCAAGTATTAGGTCTCAGCAACAAAAAAATGACTAAGAAACTTACCCATCAAATACAGCAGAACACAGTTACTCTGCTAGACATCTGAATTCATAAAAAGGATTAGCTCCATTATTTAAAAAAATAAATCATCTTAATGCAATGCTAAGAGAGATACCCAGGAATGTCATGTACCCAAGAATCCATTCAGAGAAAGCAATCACAAATTAGTACAAAAAAGACTTTTTTAAAAAGGGCCCAGGCCCCTCCATGGGGTCTGAGACACAGCCCCGAGACCCCGGCCTCTGCACCTTTGGGTTGTCGATGATCGGGGTGACGACCAGGTCTGATTCTGTGTAGATCAGCGCCCTCATCTGGGACTCCAGGGCTTCCTGGCTCAGGTGCGCACTGGTGCTCTGAAACAGGAACAGACACTGCACTTTGCTTCTGTGACTGCAAAGACAGAACGAGTAACACCCGGGGCGGACACCTCCGCGAAAGGCCACTCGCAGCCCGTGCTTCCACTGCTGTTGAAAACACCCCACTGCCTCGAGCAGTCCTCAGCAAGATCCAAAACACTGTGTCAGTGTTCCCATTTTACAGAAGGCTCAGCGAAAGTGGCTGACTTGCTTGGCTCGCGTCAGGACCCTCGGCACTAGGCCAAGACTGAGAAACACCTCCTGTGCCTGCCACTCTCCGCTGCCATCCAGCCACAGGGGGTCTCCATCACCGCCCTGGCTTCTGGCTTTCCTCCACAGAGCACTCACCAGTGACCTCCTCCTCAGTGAACATTCAGTATGAAATAAAAGCCACATGAACTGTTTGGGCTTGAGCCAGGTGTGGTGGCACAGGCCTATAATCCCAGCACTTGGTAAACTGAGACAGGAGGATCCTTACAAGTTTAAGACCAGCCTGGGTTACAAAGAGAGTTCAAGGCCAGCATGAACTGTATAGCAAGACTCTGTCTCAAAAAGACCAAACGGGCCAGGGAGACGGCTCAGTGGAATAAGCGCTTCCCTGGCAAGCGCAAGGCCGAGTTCAATCCCTGGTTCTGCCAAAAAAAACCAAAAAACAAAAAACACCAAACGAAAAGAGTTTGGGTTTAAATACTGACCAGCTACCAAAATGATAAACACTAGCAGATTATTAAACCTAGAGTCGGCACGTGAGGACAGTGGCTGACCAGACGCACGTGTCAGTCAACCTTTCACGACGTGTGTGTGCACATGCACGCTGCTCACTGAGCATTTGTCCTCCTAGCACTCCCTAAGTGTTTCACACTAGGGAAAAAAGAGGACCTGTACATCAGAAAGTAAGAATGAATGACCTAATAAAAGAGAAAGATCAGTGAAGAAAAGAATGAGGAGAATCAAAGAGACATGGGTAATGGAACAGAAAAGTTAGCTAACACAGGGACTGGAAACTGAGGCAGACCCTGGCACCACAGACAAGAAAATATATAAAAACTGCACAAAGAACAAACAGGGAAGAATGCTAAAACAATATTAATACTAATACCTAAGTTTAAGAACACGGATTCTTGGAGCTGAGGAGGTAGCTCAGTGGCATAAGAGCCTGCCTGGCAAGGGCAAGGTCCTGAGTTCGATCCCTGGTATCGCATGCCACACCGGCCCTGGAGCCCTGGGTGTGCCATGCTAGCTACCAAAACCAGGTGTGGTGACACATGCTTGCAATCCCAGCGCTGGAGAGGCTGAGACAAGAGGATCATTATGCATCCAAGCTGTATAACAAGACCCTGTATCAAAAAAAAAAAAAATAATAATAATAATAATAATAATAAAGTAAAAAATAAAAGAATATGAATTTTCAAGACAGAAAGACCAGCAGACCGATAAGGCCACTAATTGCTTATGCAACCTTAAGAAATGTAAAGCCTGTTTTCTTCACCATAATAAAAATTAAAAGCAAACACCACCCTTCAAGATTTGAAGAGTGGGCTGAGGAGATAGTGCAGTTGCTTAAGTGCCTGCCTGGCAAGCACAAGGCCCTCGGTTCAATCCCTGGTACCAAAGAGAAAGGAGGGAGAGAGAGGGAGGAAGAGAGAAAGAGACAGACAGACAGACAGATTTGAAGAGCAAGTGCACAGCACTGGAAACAATGCCACGCACTGCTCAAGACAGGCCAGGTGTGATTCATGAAGTTCTTTTAAAAAGTCATGCTGGCTTCTGCCAACAACGGACCGCTGGAGCTGTGCAGCAGCGGGCAGCAGGCCAGCGGGGTCCAGTCCTGTGGGCATGGGCAGGAGGAGGAAGCAGCAGCTAGCGGAGCTGTGGGGAGCACCCCTGCCGTCAGCTCAGAAGGGGCGAGACCAACCCGGAGAGTGATGAGAGCACCATCAGAAAGAGGGGAGGTCCAGTTATCTTCACATTCGGGTGACACAACTTAGAAAACAAAAATTAATCAACTGAAAAATTATTATTACAAATAGTGTAAGAATGAGTAAGGGTGCCACTTGGAAAATTTCTATGTAGACATTTCCTATAGCAAACCAAACAAACTCACAAATAAGAAATGATCACAATTTAATATCCCGTGTGCAGTAGCAGAAGATGAGCAGCGATAATGCTGAAGAATACGAGCGCTGCACAGGTCTGCTTTCTGTGCGCCCACCGTAGGTAAAGGGTGCCAGACCTGAGCCAAGCTATGGGATCGAAAAGCATAATGAGATCAAAATCATGAAAACAAATTGAGAGCTGTGCCTCTGTTGGAAAAGAAACACTAGGCATCAAACCAGAAGTGCAAACATCAAAACAGAATCCGCCTCTGCCTTGGACTGTCGTGGCTTGGGGCCAGAGGTCCTCCCAAAGCGGCTCTGCAGAGGTGGCCGGCCCCAAAGCATGCGACGCTGGGGTCAGCAGTGCGTGGCTACGACACCAGTCCACTGATTAAGCTGGCCGAGCTCTGGTGGGGACAACGGCAAGGCCCAGCCCAGGCATGCGTGCTGCCTGCCCTAAGGGACAGAAAGAGGGCTGCAGCCACTGCGGGCTGGCCTCTGCTCTGCTGCCCACTGCCCCCACCTTCCACCCACCAGCTGCATCTCCCCTCTGCGATGCCCGTCTGCCACACCACCCTGCCTTGGCGCCAGCGATTACAGAAGGAAATCTCTACAGACTGTGAGCTAAATAACCTGTCCTCCTTTAACTTTAGGTTTGGGTATTCCTGTCTCAGCAACGACAAACGGTTATGTTTCAAGTAATTTTTAACTCAATGTAAGTATCATTTAAAGGTTATACAACAGAGTGCCTCCTAGCACTTAATTACTGGTGGAGCATTTTCAGTGAAATTTCTACTTACTCTGCTTTACAACAGCCATCTGCTAGAACGACTTCAACATCTACTGGATTTCAGAATGTGTTTTTTACTGATTTTCTATTTTGCGAAAACCAAAACTTCATTAGCAGAGAAATTTGTATTATAACCCATTTACACTACATTTTCACGTAGAAAGTTCAAATGGCCCAAATAAACATCCACATTACATTTAAAAACTGTAATGGCCAAAAACTATTGTATTTATCAAATAGTAAGTGCAATAAAAATAACCTGGAAAAAGAATTGAAAATATTTTTGCATTTAAAACTATGACTGACAGAAATGGAAAAAAGCTAAATAGAGACATCCAATGCTCATGAGAGAGCTTAATATTGTTAGGGTGGCAACACTGGCCCACACTGGTCTACGGATACAACACAACGGCACTTTCCCCAGCCAGGTTCTGGGCAGGAAACGCTAAGTTGATCCTCAGATTCATGAGGAAGCGTAAGGGACCTGGGGCCAGCCACACAGCTCAGCGGACTGCAGCGCCTGCTTAGGCAGAGTGCAGCAGCCAGGGTTTGATCCCAGGCGCGGGCCAATCTGGCCCCGCACCTGGGGCGTGTTGAGACTGCAACTGAGACTGGGCGTGGTGGCGCGGACCTGTAATCCCAGCATTTGGGAGGCTGAAAGCAGGAGGATCCACATGAGTCCGATCTTTGTAGTGAGACCCTGTAGACCCTGTACTAATATATTAAAAAAATTTTTGAAAATCTCCCTTCTTGGGGTGGGGTGGTTCCACAGCAATGCACTGGACTATGCGCTAAAAACAGCTACACAGGAAGTTTTACGTGGTACAGTGGAACTCGGTTCGCCAACACTTGTATGGTGAAGTTGCAATCACAAACAGAAACGTTTGACAAAATTTTGCTTTTGTTTGTGAACGGTGCACTGGGCGCTACCACTCATGCACAAACACAACCATGGCCACCTTTTCCAGAATCGTGGAACAAAGTAAGTTTGTGAACCAAGATGCCACTGTACACATTTTACCACAACTCTGTGGGCACGTGTGGTGCTAGGGATGGAACCCAGGCCTTGCACACACGAGCAAGAGCCCCACCCCTGACCCACACCTGTGGCGCCTCCTGCTGAAGCCAGGAGATGTTAGAGACAACCCACACTGGTGAGGATATAAAATTCAGAACCCTGGACACACCACTGGGAAGAACGCAAAATGGAGCAGCTTCGCTGAAGCGGTCTGCAGCTCCTCAAGAAGCCGCAAGTCCGCAGGACCGGACGCAGCAAGGGCACTCCTCTGCACACACAAGAGAAGCACAAGCAGAGCTCACACACACGCACACAGATGTTCACAGCAGTATTTAAGCGCAGCCAAATGGCAGGCACACCAAAGTCTGCTGGCTGATGAATGAATGCAAAGATGGAGAGCACAATTACTGGGGAGTAAACAAGAACGCACAACTGATGCTGCATGCCACAACGTGGGAGGGTCCACTTATCTCAACCATCCAGGACAGACAGGTAGACTGAAGGTTGCTCAGGACAAGGGTGGGAGCATCAGGGCGATGGGGCGACGGCCACGGGTGCAGGGCTCTATGGGCCGAAGGCGCCCTCCACCGCCTGGGTGAACAGTCCTGTGTCCCCTGATCGCATGCTTTACATGGGTGAGCTGTAGCTCAGGTCAATTACATCTGAAGGAAGCTGCTACCAAAGAAACAACACTGAAGCAGCTACATGGGATCGCAGGTCTGCGGTCCTTCCTGGAATCCAGTGATGATCAGGGAAGATGCCTTTGCATAAACCTTGAAATCGTGAGCACGGTTCATAGATCAACTTGCAACTATCTGGGGCAGTCTCCACTCCGCCGCTGCCCACCTTGGCCCAGGGCGAGGCTTTCTGTGGTGAAGTCTGTGTCCTCTCCTGTCTGGGGCTCAGCCCCATGGCAGTGCTGGTCCTTGGTGTCGGACGGGAACTGGAAGTAAGCATATGACGTTATCCAGATTTCAGAAGCTTCTGCCTGCGTGCGCCAGTTTCTGAGAAAACACATACTGCGAAACACGGTGGAATACGATGCCCTCCCTCACCACACAGGGGTGGCAGCTCTGATCTGTGCTTACACAACACGATGATCTTTGGAACTGCTTTGAAACAGCTCCCTAGTTTATTATTTCTCTTATTCAGTCTTCTATGACATGTATTTTCTTGACTAGAAATCTTAATACATTGATTTTATTATTTTTAAATGTCCCCTGGTGTCGGCAAAATCAATGTAATAAAACATAAAATACAAAAGATGGAACACTCACAATTTCATTTCAAGATACATATGAAATGGGAAATTACCTTCATGCCTACTGTAGACAACTGTAATCTGCATCCATCTTTAATAATTCCTCCTACGTGCATACACATCTGCTATCCTCTGTAGACCTCTACACTAGTCCTTGGTCTCTTGAGTTTTCATATGCTAAAACTCCTCCCAGTGAGGTGTGGTGGTACACATCTATAACCTCAGCCCTCTGAGTGGCGGAGGCAAAAAAGAAATCACAAGTTCAAGCCCAGCCTGGGCAACTTAGCAAGCCCCTAACTGAAACCAAAAAAGGGCTGGGGATGTGGCTCAAGTCCCTGTATCACTAAAGAAGAAAATCCTCCTCATTAGGCAATTAGGAGCCTTTCTAATTATTCCTCTATATTCCCTAAGGTTAGTGTTTTCACCTTTCTTTCACTTACCTGTTCACTCACTCATTCAACAGGCATCTGCGCAGCATATAATGACATCACTATCTACATAGTGGGAATATCAGAGTCTTAGAACGTCAATTTCTGTTTCTTTTTTTGGTTTTTGTTTGTTTGCTTGTTTTTGAGACAGGGTCTCGCTACACAGCTCAGGCTGGACTTGAGCTCACTTTGCAGCCCAGACTGGTCTCAAACTTGCAATGATCCTCTGCCTCAGCCTCCCGAGTGCTGAGATTACATATGGCATGTGCCACCATGCCTGGCTTAAAATGTCAGTTTTAAATGGCTAAAATTGAACATATACTTCTAATTTAAATATGGAGAAAACAGACCAGGAAATGTTAGTTTAACATCATAATCTTCATTTCATAAAATAAAATTTCTACATAAGGTTGTTTCTCTTTTGCAGTGCTGAGGAGCCAACCTCGTGTGTGCTAGACAAGGGCTCTCCCCCCGAGATACAATCCAAGCCAAGGGATTTTTGAAAACTATATTCAGGGCTTATGCATTACATTTTTCATACATTTACATACATTTGACATACCATCATCATTTGTTTCATTCTTTTCATGATTGTAACCACTGGTTAGGCCTCACATGAAAAAGTATTTTACTGAAAAACAGGGGCTTTGGGGACACAGCTCCGGCTGACCACTTGCCCTGCAGGCAGTGAGGAGCGGACACGGCGCGGCCCCTTCCAGCCATAAGCCGAACAGAGAGGCTGGGCTCCTGAAGTTTTCAGTTTGTTTGTATTTGAAGTTAAAACACAAAATGAAAAGGATCTGCCCCTTTCAAGTAGGGGAAGTGACTTGTTCACCACAAGGCAGAATCCAGAGCCCACTGGCCACACTCAGCTGCGACCTGGGAAGGAAGGGGTGTGCTCAGTCTATCACCGTCCTGGCCGCCGCCTCTGGTAACGGGCAGCCCAGGGCAGCAGGTGGTTTATGAGGCGTTCACTTCTCCTTCTTGCTTCCCTAACCCATCCTGGGCCAGACCATACGCACCTGAGGAGAAACAGGGACTCGTTCGGCTGCCCCCCAGAGGCGCTCCTGGGCCGCAACTCAGCCGGGTGCTCTGAAGGGGAAAGCAAAGTCTTAGCCACGCAGCACATCACAGTCCAGAGCAGAGCCCACACAGGAGGCGGGTTCCCGAGGAAAGCACTCCCAGGTCAGGCCTGGCGAGAGCCACTCACCAAGCTTGAGCGTGGGGCTGGGTCTTGGAGCTGCCCTGTGCCCCGTGCTGCGGCCACCCAGAGGATGCTGGGCTGGCTCCTTGGGGTCCTGGGGCCCGGAACCTTCCTTGGTGCTTCTGCTGCTGCACAGGAGAGAGCAGCACAGGCAGACTCACCCTGGAGCTCTGGCAAACTGTCGGTCAACAACAGCTCAAAAGGCAGCTAAACACACACGGCACCCAAAAGCAGTATTACTCATGGTACCAACGCTGAGCACTTCTGACACACAGGGCCATCCCCAAGAAGGCTGCCCTTGGGGGAAGCTGAGTCAAGGAGGCCCGGCTCCAGCTCAGGCTCTGGCTCTGGCCCAGGAGCTCCCTGCATGGCCCACACCGTACCTGGCCCTGCCTCTTGGCAACACAAGGCCTGCAGGCCAGAGAAGCCCACAAAGTCTCTGCTTTCTGACAGAGGGATGGGAAAGGCTCCAGAGGGGCAGAGGCCAGAGGACAGGCCGGTCCCAGGTAACCCCAAGGCAGCCCCTGGGCATGGCAGCACTAAGGGCTGTGCCCTAAATGTCAACAGGGGGTGCTTGTTCTCTGACCAGAAAGCTGTGACCCAGAACATGAGGCAAAGCCCCATGGCTGTCCCCATCCTACCACGTCTGCCTTGCTCAGGGTGCTGGGCTGAGATGACTTCCTACTGCAGCTGAACCTCTCTGGACAGGATGCGCCATCAGGACCCCGAGCTCTCCCACAGTGGAGCCGGGCAGACAGCCCCGTGATGGTTCCCTTACAACACAGTCAGCGGCAGGTACCACACACTGGCTGGTACCATTTCTACACAGACGCTCCTGAGCCAGTGCAAGCCACAAGGCCCTGCCCTGCACAGGAGCCACAGGTTCTGCCCTGGGAGGCAGGTCACAGGTAACCGTGAAAAAGCCGAGCAGACCGCTGGCTGAAAGGACAGCTGCTCAAAGGATGGCGAAACCAACAAGAGCTTGTGAACTGCAGTTAAACCAACACTAGGTTACCGCTTCACAAGCACAGAAATTCAGGCCAGTGATGCTGCATTACTGGAAGAGAAGATAGGCGTGCAAGGACGACACCAGGCACGAGACAGCTTGCACACCTGGCGGGCAACTCCTCCACACTCGACTCCGTGGCTTCCCTCACGAAGGCGCCCTTCCAGAAAGGGTGCTGCCGCACGCCGCTCCAAGTGAACCTTCAGGAAAGCAGAGCATTAGCACCCTTGTCTTGCCCCGCTTCAGCCAGAGAACTCCCAGGACGCGCTCGGGTAACAAAGAGCATGCGATGGCGATTCAGAACATCTCCATCCCAAGGGACCTCTGAAAGCGCTCCCCGCTGTATTCTCTGCTCAGCTTGCAACAGATCACACTCAGCAAAAGCAGAAGAAACAATGCAGAAGCCTTGGATGGCACAGAGCAAAACTAAGAACTAGGAGTTTGGGGCTCTCGGTACACTGAGTCTGACAAGAAGAGAACTTTTCAGGGTTCCAACCAGTTCTTGGGGGCCACCCATAAACAACTTGAAATCCTGTATTAAAATGTCTCACATTACCAACTGATCACTCTGACATTCTGTGTGTCCCAGGAGAGGCAAGACTGTGGCAGTCACCTGGCTACGTGACACGTTTCAGTCTGGAGACTTCACTCAGAGCCTCATTCAGAAACCCACCGGAGTCCCAGCTTCTCGACTGCTCTGCCACCCTCACCCTGAGGCGTCAGAATGGCACCGCCTGGCTGCCTCACTCCCGCTGGCACGACTCACTGAACCTAACTACAACTCACTTTCTGAGACGCAAGTCTCACTACTAACGTGTGGCCTCAGGCACACTCAGTGGGTGAGAAAAGCCCACCTGACATGCAAGAGAATGTGTTTGACTACTTAAAGTACCTGTATTGAAAAAAAATTACTGATCAAAAGTAACACACAAATATTAAAGAAAAATAACATGCAGCCACATGACATCCCTGTCACACAGGCTCTCACAATTCACTGAAGGAAACCAGCTGTGGCGGTGCGCGCCTCAATCCGCCCCCTGGGAGGCTGAGGCTCAGCAGGACCCTCCTCACAAGAAAAAGGGCTTAGGATGTAGCTCCATGTGATGACCCCAGTTCAATTCCCCATACCACAAAAACAAGAAGAAAAAGAATCCACCAAAAGAGAAATAGAAATGGCCAGTAACAAAAGGTATCTTCCAGCCATCAGAATGGCAAATACTGGAAAGGCTCCGCAAGCCTGCTGTAGGGGAGCGGGCAGGGATGGGTGTGCAGTACGGAGCAGCTCGCGTCCCCAGAGTGCTGCAAATGGTATCTATTTATATCCTGGCCACACATCCAACCCTTCTGCACTCTGGGCCTTGGATCTGCAATCCTACTTTGAGCAATTTACGTGAATTGAAGATCACGGCCTAAGTGAACCCCAAAGAAAGAACACGTGAAAGGGTATTCACATAGCAGATATACACAACTGCAAATCCAGAAACACTGTGAGATCCTTTCTATTAGACTGTTGCATGCACATTCTGTAGCCATTTAAAACAACTAAGCAGATATATTTATTACTATGAGAAAACAGCCCTAATGTTCCATGAGACAAAATAGTTGGTTATGGAAGAATCTCCTACAATCCAAAAGTCACACAATACAAGGACACAGGCACAAGGCTGCACTGCGCTAATCAGTCTCTGTCCACACCCTCAGGGAACAGAACCAAACCCCACAGATGCTCGTGGCTTACATGAAATGACACACTGAGGTTCCTGTTTGTTTGTTCTTACGGCTCGGGACACTGGGCTCAAGTCCTCGCACTAAGCCACATCTCCAGCCCTTTTTTATTTTGAGACAGAATCTTGCAAAACTGCTAAGTTGCTCAGGCTGGGCTTGATCTTGGGATCCTCCTGCCTCAGCTGCCATGGTGCTGGGATGACAGGAGTGCACCACCGCTCCGGGCTTGAAGTGGCACGTTTGTATACTACTACACGCATCTTCTCATTCTCGCCGTCATCGCTATAATCCCTGCAACACCCAACACACCGCACACGCCATGCACCTGGCTGTCACACTGCATAGTCTGGGAAGAGGCAGCAGGGAACAGCCAGACCATTTAGCACACACGCAATTTTCACCAATATTTTCGTGACAGGGTGCTGAGCATAAAGTGCACCTGTATTTACACCCGACCCGCCTGAGGTCACTCCAGGTAACACTAATGCTATGGGCCTCAGCAGAATAAGCTCCTGCTTAGGCAAGTACAGGGACTGGGGCTCGATCCCCAGCACCACATGCTGTACCGGCCCTGTCCCCAGGCAGGCTGAGCCACCAAGACAGGGCATGGTGGTGAACACCTGTAATCCCAGCACCGGGGAGACCGAAAACAGGAGGATCACCACGAGTCTGAGCTACGTAGTGAGACCCTATAACAAATACATAAAACAATAAATAAATAAACACTAACACAACCTCATGCAACGTAAGCAAAGAACAGCCCGCCTGACAGCTGCAGAGGCAGCGTCTCCCTGCACAGTACTCTCATGTGTGCAATAAATGTGAGTGGGGTGTTCTGTACCCTGAATTTATTCTCCATGTCACGCCCTCAGTGGGGGACTCCTACAGAGCTATCTAAACCCTGCTCGTCACCACCCTTCCAGGAGCAGAACCAGGACGGGACAAGGCTGTAGACCAGGCCAGGGAAACCCCAGCACTCCTGGCCTTCCTGCCACACACAACCTTCCTAGCAAGCCTATCATTCTGCACCTCCATTGTTATGGGACCGTCATAAAAATAAATCACATTAAGATACTGTTCTGTCTACTATCTCAATGGTATCACTCCTAACTCAATGGCCTAAAACAACCAGTCTGAAATACACATGAGATTGACATATCAACCGGCCAGGTGACATGTTTTGAGGAACCCGGACCATCCTCTGCCAAGGAGCTGCACCCCCAGCTCTCCACCAGCAGTTCACAAGCATAACGAGAAAATTTAAAAAGCCTCATGAGGGCTGGTGAGATCGCTCAGAGGTCGAAAACGCCTGCTTAGGCAAGACTCAGGCAAGTGCAGGGACCAGGGTTCAATCCCCGGCACCAGAGGCCGCGCCAGCCCCGACCCCAGGGCAGGCTGCACTGACCACAAGAGAGGATAAAAAGCCTCATGATTAAAGCCTACAAAAATCATAAATTCGTAATCCAAGGTCAGACTCTGATGACATACTAATAAGTCAGGCAGCCCCACACACCCGCAACTGCACTATTTCAGAAGGGCGTGAAGGGAATGAGGTCCCAATACTCACTCGCATCAAAGCCAGCCCAGCCATACCTTTTCTGAGGCTCTTTCTGAAGCAAGCCATCAAGCAAATGCACAAGATCTGTGGACGCTTTTGGACGTGAAGGATCTGCAAGTGAATTAATTTCCAAGAAGAAAGATGGGGTGAGAGCCACCGACCGTTGCGTCACACACTGGTACTAAGGTACCGGTCTGTGAAGCCCGGGAACCGCAAGCCAAGACGCCAGCGCAGCAGCAGCAGCTTGGCTCAGCTGAGGCACACGGCGCCAGACGCAGGACACCCCCAGATTGCTCAGGAAAAGGAAGCTTGACACCTCCTGGCTGCGCGGCCCTGGCCGGCCACCCCTCGTCTGCACCACTTAGCTCAGCCTCACTCTCTGAGGAACCCCAACTTGGCCAACTTCCCCCTTCCTTTGTAGTCCAGGGAAGTGAACACAGGGCCCTCGCCCAGGCCCTCTGCTTCCTTCTCTGCTTCGAGACAGGGTCCGGCTCAGCTGGCCAGGCCAGGCACGAGTGCCTCCACCACCAGAGCGCTGCGATCACAGCAGCGTACCGCCAAGCCCAGCCAGCTCTGCTTTCATACCACCTCACCATGAGGTTGCCTGTAATCTCGCTTTTACTCTGAAGATCTTTAACAGGAAAATAAGAACCACTGCAACTTTACAAAGCTGCTGATTCCATCCACCTCAGGGTTCTTTATCATTTCAAGTCAGATGGGTAAGTACAACGGCCAGCTCACCAGGCTACAGGGAAGAGACCACAAGGACCAGGGCCTAAGACAGCAGCGAGGACGATGAGTGGGCCGAGGGACACAGAAGGCACCAGGGGCACTGCAGCCGAGGTGGAGGACAAAAAGGTCTCCAAATATGAGGGCAGACAGCCCCCAGGCCTCATCGTCTGCATTTTCTAATTTCTCCTCCCTACATAAAACAGTTTCACTTGCGGTGGGAAATAACATAGCACCATAAAGCAAAAATTCAGTTTTTAAGAAACAGAACTTCTGGGCTGGGAGATAGCTGGGCAGTCTAATCACCTGGCTGGCAAGCATAAAGACCCAGGTTCAATCCCCAGTACCACATGCTGTGCCAGCCACAAAACTGGGCATGGTGGCGCACACCTGTAATCCCAGCACTGGGGAGGCTGAGACAGGAGGACCACTATGCATAGTGGTCCTGTATTAAATAAATAAACAAAACAAAAACAGAATTTCAACATATGGAGTTTTGCTTCACCATGGGTAATTCTAAAAACACTGAAGAGTCTGCATGTCTCTTCCATCCATTACTTCTAAAAATTTCTTCTTTTAAATACAGCAAGAACATATTTTTGTAGAATTATGTTTTCAGTAAAGGATCTTAATTTCCCAATAATATATAGAAAAATGTTAACCTACATTCATGTCATTTGTTTTTCTTTTCTTTCCTTAAAATTGTTAATGAAAAAAAAAGAAAAAAAAATTATTGTTAATGGCAGATTGTTATGTTAACCACAATTTATATGATTAAAATAGGACAACTATATCTAATTTAAAAGGTTTTTAAAAGATGTCAGGGTAGCATTCTGATTCATCAAGATGCCCAGAAAAAGGCCTCATTTGTTCCTATGAAACACCACATGGGAATAACAGCAAGTGGTATGAACAGCAAGTTAATAAACATAAGATAGATAGATAGATAGATAGATAGATAGATAGATAGATAGATAGATTTACTTACTTATTTAAACCTCTAAACCAGGCTTCTGGTGATACAGAAGCACAAACTAATTCTTCTTTTCTGGTACCAG